GGCCTCTCACCGTTGTGGCCTCTCCCGTTGCGGAGCACAGGCTCCGGACGCGCAGGCTCAGCGGCCACGGCCACGGCTCACGGGCCCAGCCTCTCTGCGGCATGTGAGATCTTCCCGGACCAGGGCACGAACCCGTGTCCCCTGCATCAGCAGGCGGATTCTCAACCACTGCGCCACCAGGGAAGCCCCTGAGTAACTTTTAATGTAATTTATTTCTTATATAAATTATAATGTATAGAATCACATATGTAATTTAGTAATGTATATAAATACATAATAGTGATACAATCAAATTTTTAATTATTCAAAATTATTTTTGAATAAAGTTTTTAAATTAATTTCTTAAAATTATTATTTTGTTAGCTTTTAACTTTTGCTTAACATGAGAAAATAACTTTAGCTTAACTAGGTGCTAGATATTCAGATAGTGTCAATATTTTTCCTTTTCAACATTTAACTAAATTATTGATTTGTTGAACAATTTGTAGAATTAAATAATAAAATATAAACTATTTTTATTTAATTCTCAAAGTTCAAATCACAAAAGTACTAAGGATTAAATATAAACAACACTGATGAGGCAGCCAATGACAGCTGCTAGCTATGTACAGGCTACCTTTCACCGTCTGACTTTGAGATCAAGCAATAGATAGAAAGTCGTCTAATCACAGCCATCTGTTTGCCATAGTTTATAGCCCTGACCTTCCATGAACTCAACATCAGTGTTGCTCATATGATACCCAAGAAAACTCAGTAAGAGAAATTAAATACTAAGGAATAAAATTTTGTCAGTAAGGTTAAGCACTGTTATATCTAAGATTTTTTTCACCCCCACCCCTCACCAAAGAACCAATTTTCAACGTCCAGAATAGGCAAACATCAAGACAGAAAGATCAGTGGTTGCTTAGAGCTGCAAAATGGGGAGTGTCATCTAATGGGTACAGAGTTTCTTTTACAGATGACAAAAAGGTTCTAAAATTAGATTGCAGTAATGACCACATAACCCTATGACTATACTTTAAAACACTGAGTTGTATATTCTAAATGGGTGAATTGTACGGTATATGAATGATATCTCAATAAATATATATCTATTTAAAATAAAAGAGTGGATTTTTACCTGCTGTGGGGAGATATCATCCCAGTTGAACATGCATGACCTAGGCTACTGGAGGGAGAGGGTTTCACAGCCATGCTCCCTCTACTGGATTTATTTGGAACTAAAATAACAATAAACTACACAACTGAATATATTAAAATAAGGTTTAGAATAGCAATCAAATATAATTACCCATTATCAACATATTTACTTATAAACACATAATCATATATGACACATAAATGGTAAATAGTGTATATAAATGACTAAAATTCTCCAGTAAGATGGTGGGAGAGGATAGCCTAGCCTGAAGAGAGATGAAGAAAGCTTTGGCTCACAGCCCTTATCCTGAGGGAGATAACTAAAAAGAGGGAGATGACACTCTTTTCCCCATCAACCACCCTCCTCCTCCCAGAAGCCTGAAGTGTGAGCTGCTCCAGTTTGATTTTAAGAGACAGTGCTGCCCCACTGCAAGCCAAGCCGTCCCCAGTTACCCACCAAGTTTCCAATAACTTCACCTCCAATAACAAGGCTATAGTGTCCCTTAATGAAAAAGCAGACAGATGTAGTCTTCAAGGAGTCCCTACAGCAGCATTATCCAAAAGAACTTTCTGTGATGATGGACATCTTCTATGGTCCATAGATTATAACGAGTACTTGAAATGTTGTTGGTGTAAATGAGGAACTGGATTTTTAATTTTATTTAATTTTGATTTTAATTTAAATAACCACATGTGGCTACTGGCTACCATATTGGACAGAGAGTTCTAGAGCAATGCTATCCAACAGAAATGTAACATAAGCCACATAAGTAATTTAAAATTTTCTAGTAGCTACATTAAAAAAGGTTTTTTTTAAAAGTGAATTTAATTTTAATATTACACATTATTTAAACCAATATACTCCAAATATTATCATTTCAACATGTAATCAATATGAAAATAATTATTAAGGTATTCTACACTCTTTTTTTGTACTGTATCTTCGAAATCCCAGGTGTATGTTACACTTGCACCCCATCTCAATTTGGATCAGCCAATATTTCAAGTGCCCAATAGTCATATGTAGCTAGTGGCTGCCATATTGGACAGGACAACTCCAGAGAATCTTAGCGCCCTTTCCGTAACACCTAGTTCTCCCTTCCCCTTTCTTCCCAAATCCAAGGAGAAGAATCAAAGTCACAAGAACTCTTTGTGTTCCTTGCCCCTTCACAGAGTCATCTGCCACACCTGGGTATGGTTGGCTGGGATTTATCCCTCTATCTAAAAATACCTTATCCAGGGCTTTCCTGGTGGCGCAGTGGTTAAGAATCTGCCTGCCAATGCAGGGGACACGGGTTTGAGCCCTGGTCTGGGAAGATCTCACATGCCGCGGAGCAACTAAGCCCGTGAGCCACAACTACTGAGTGTGTCTAGAGCCTGTGCTCCACAACAAGAGAAGCCACGACAATGAGAAGCCCGCGCACCGCGATGAAGAGTAGCCCCCACTCGGCGCAACTAGAGAAAGCCTGCGCACAGAAAGGAAGACCCAACACAGCCAAAAATAAATAAATAAATTTATTTTAAAATAAAATAAAATAAAAATATCTCATCCAAAACTTCCCTAAAATCCACCAAGTAGATTCACTTAGCTTAATAAATACATGGGGGCTTCAGGGAAGGCTAGTCATTCACCTCTTAGTATGGATTGCAGGACCCTGTTAGATGAAGAGGACAGTGCTATACGCCCTTATCAAGCAAAAGGATGAAACTCTCAATAATGTATTTTTAATAAAGATTTCTGAAAGGATTAAAAACAAAAAACAGGGACTTCTTTGGTGGCGCAGGGGTTAAGACTCCCCACTCCCAATGCAGGGGGCCCGGGTTCGTTCCCTGATCAGGGAACTAGATCCCACATGCATGCCACAACTAAGAGTTTGCATGCTGCAACTGAAAAAGATCCCGCACGCCACAACGAAGATCCGGCATGCCGCAACTAAGACCCGGTGCAACCAAATAAATAAATAAATATTTTAAAAAACAAAACAAAACAAAACTGCAAGGTTTTTATAGTAACACTTGGAAGAAACAACCAAACAAAACAATAATTGTTTTAGCAAAGAACTTCCAAAACTAGTGCTAACAAACCAGTGAACAATTTATTTCCTGTGGTGGCAAAAGCAATCTTTACGCTGTCACTGCTCCTTTCAGCTCTTTCATATTGGGAGTGGAGAGGGGCTGAAGTCACTTCAAGACCAAGGTATAGCAAAGCAAGAGAGGCATTGGTGCTTGGTGTCCCAGAAAGAAAAGGTAGTAGGTTCCCCCAAGGAAAATGAATCTAGGTCTCATTAAGAAGCAAACGTAACCTCCAAAGAGGAAAAGGCAGCAAGAACACAAGCTTCCATAGGACGACATCTAAAAACAAGAGCTGGCGGCAGAGGGGTGTAGAGGGGGAACAAAGAGTTTTGAAGGAACTGGCAGCAGAGAAATAATAATACCGAATACTGGCCTATGATTAATGTCCTCCAAATTCAGTATATTATGTCATTTGAGCCTGATAACAACCTACAAGGTAAATGAGTAAGATATGATTTAACTTAAGTTCACAAATGAAGAAACTCAGAGAGGTGAAGTGATTTCCCTAAGGCTCATGAAGGAAAGAAATGAGTCAATTATTTTTCATTCTGAATAAATGTGTATGTGTACTTAATACCAGCTGCTCTAGTGAGTCTCAAATGGGCAGAGATGTCTGCCAAAAAAGCAGGTGCTATTTGTTTATGCTCTGCTTAGAGCACCACAAAATAAAAGCAATGTCTGAAGGGCTCTGGGCTTGACTTTCCAAAGGACCACTCCACTCTGCATTAACGCCCTCTCTTTATTTAAAGATGGCTCTCCTATATCCTGTGTCTACTCTTTTTCATATGAAATATCCCTGTGTCTTTCAACCCTTTCCTGCTATGCTATGGTTTCCATAGCATTAAACAATCTGCACACCCTTCCTGGGATGCTTTCTCTTTTGTTAATATGCTCAAGGACAGCATCAAAAACAAGGCCCAGAGTTCCAAATGGAGTCTACAAAGGTGCCAGAGAAGAATGTCCAGAGTTCTGGAACCCACACTTCTATTGATGCAGTTTAAATTAATATGTGATTTAGGGAACACCATGTTAAAAAAAAAAATTGCTCTAATGAATGAAAAAGCATGACAAGAACACACCAAAACCTCTCTGCTTGGGAAGAACACATTTATACATAATAACTATTTAAATTGACTCAAAGATCTGAAAATTCTGAGGTTTCCTATAGTTGAATTTACTTTCCTGAAAGCTTATACCAGTGGTTAGCATTGCCCAAAAGACTCTGGGGAGGGAAAAAAAAGTATACACTGCTTGGGCTCTACCCCTGAAGATTCCGATTTAGTGGGGGCTGGGAAGAGGCCCAGCTCCTGTGTCTTACTGTCTCACAGGTAGTTCTGCTGCATCCTAAAGGCTGAAGAGCACTTGCAGACAGAGAGCTGCCACAGGAGCACAGAGGCCTGAGGAAGGCCTGTGATTAAGGGGAGCCAGACAAATACCCCAGAGTCTTGAAAACAGCCTTCCATCCCCAAGCTTTGCCCAGAGCTCCAGGCAGTGATGGACTACCCTACACAGGCTTAGGCCTCACGGGGTACCTGGCTCTCGGGACTGGCTATCATCACAAATGTGCAGGTCCAGGCGGGAGATGAGCAGATGGTAGGAGGACTCTTTCACATCAAATTTCTCAAAGTACTGGCTGAGGCGGCTGCTGCTGCTGTTGCTGCTGCCCTGGCTGCCACTGAACGCCTGGGCCCAGGACTGCTGGGCACTGGGAGCAGGTGGGGTGATCTACATGTGACAGAGAGAAACAAGAAGCCAGACCCAGACAGCCTCCTTGCTGGCTTTCTTTAAGCTTTAGTTCAGCCTGAAGAAAACCACAATTTGACAAGGTGTCCCTTCCTTCTCATAACTATTCGCCTGTTATCTCATGTAGGTCTATCCCACTTAAATAACCCAAACTCCAAGAAGCCAAATTATAGTTAATCTAGTAACTGTTAGAGTCCTGTTCTGAGATTTGAATTGCCTTCTAAGCTCCCACCCCACTAAAACTTAGCTGACTGATGCTAAAACACTTCCTCCAGGAAGTCTTCCCTAAATGCTCTCTTTCAGCCCAGGTAGTTGGATCCCTTTTCTTTGTGCTCTCATGGCACAGTGTTTACCTCTATTACAGCACTTATCATATCATATTGTAATAACTTGTTTATAGTCCATATTTTAAGACAGCAAGAGTTCCAAGGACAGGAACAAGAGGCTTTCCAGTGGCTAACACTGTATACCTAATACACTAGAGGCACCCAAAGAACAGAATAACTGAATAAATCAGAGGCACAGGCAAAGCCTATGTACCTACAGAAGTGAATGACAAATTCCCCCAAATAAGCCTAATAAAGTCTAGGCTCCACATACGGTGGAGGTGTGAATTAGGTCCGGCCTACCATCTCCCCACTGCCACCAAGGGTCTCTGTTTCACCTCTAACCTGTACAGGTTCAGGGGCCAGGCTCTTTCTCTGCTGGGCTGACTTCTCCATGGCCTCACTCAGTGATTCTGCATATTTCATCATAGCCTTGAGTTGTGAGTCAGTTAGCACCCAGAGCAGGTCATCCAACAGGAACATCAGCTTGGAGGCTATCACATTGCAATCTTTGGTCTGAAGGGGTCACATAGAACACAGGGTTCAACATCTGGTACCATCCCAACTACTCAAAGTGACCACTGCCCAACCAATTTCAGAGATGGCTTTTCAATCCCCAATACACGAAAGGAAAGTATCAAGCACTGTGAAGAGTCAATTTCTTACAAAACTACTAAAGTTTTCTGTGATTAACAAGAAACAGCAATGATCAACTGCCTATGTGTCCCCATATACAGGTAAAAATCGTGGTTTTCAAAATTAAAATGACAGGGAGGTAGAAATGTTTCCTCATTAGCAGATACAGTGCAACACTGAATTGCAGGTCCTCCCCTTTCAAATGTTATTCCAGGGGCGGCCAACACTCAAAAAGGAGGAAATGCCATCTCCCATGCTATCTGGGAGAATAAAAGATGGAAGTTTTCATGAGGACAGAGAACACACTCACTCTTCTCTTGAGGGCTATTTGGATCCTGCCTTGGTTGGTAATAAGCCTCAGTGGAGTGGTGACTGGGTCCTGATCACCATTGTCTGTAGCATCTGCCTCAATTCGAAGTGTTTGCCAAGTTATTTCCTTAAATGTTAAAACCTAAGAGGAAAGAAAGTAAAATCCCTTAATTCTGTGGATGAAATTAATCAAGAGGCAGGAAGTCCAAGGGGAAAAGACTGGCAAGGCAGAGACCCCCACCATTCTCAGCTGGGATCCTACCCACAGAAGGCAGTGGATCAGAAATCCATAATTGAGGAAAGGATGTAACAGTAACACTGGACAGAAGGGATTCTTGGGTTCCCAAGAATGGGGGAGACTTTGAGGAAATCCCCAAAGCAGGAATAACATCCTTAAAGAATGAGTCCTATTTTGAACGCCCCATTCTCCCTTCTCAGAATGCCAGGGCTGTCACCTCTCCTCGGCGGGGGTCAGTGATACGGGTGAGGCGGAGGTCACTCTGCTGCCAGTTGGGGTTCACACTATAGCCCTGGAGCTGCCACAATTCAAAAGAAGCGTGGAAGGCCTTGGAGTGAATCTTGATGGTGATGGAATTGACGACGATGAACATCCCCTCCACCACCTTCTCGGCAAAGCCATACTCACTACAACAAACGAGGCAGACCAACATTCAGGATCATATGAGATTTGACGCATACTCTTTTTTTTTTTTTATTTTTTGGCCATGCCATGCAGCTTGCGGGATTCTACTTCCCCGATCAGGGATTGAACCCGGGCCCTGGCAATGAAAGCGCCGAGTCCTAACCACTTGGCCGCCAGGGAATTCGTAGGCATACTCTTTATACTGGAAGACATAAGACAAGATTCTTAACAACGCCTGTCTTTGGATGCTAGAAGTGTGGATGACTTTTTTTTTTTTTTTTTTTTGGCGGTCGGCGGGCCTCTCACTGTTGTGGCCTCTCCCGTTGCGGAGCACAGGCTCCGGACGCGCAGGCTCAGCAGCCATGGCTCACGGGCCCAGCCACTCCGCGGCATGTGGGATCTCCCCAGACCAGGGCACGAACCCGTGTACCCTGCATCGGCAGGCGGACTCCCAACCTCTGCGCCACCAGGGAAGCCCGAACTGTGGATGACTTAAAAAAAATTTTTCTCCTCCCATTTCTGCTTTATATTTTTTACATTTCTAAAAATTTTTATGATGATGTAGTACTCTTTCTGATGAGATTTTTTTTTAAGAATGGAATAAAAGAAAGAGTTGACCTGGAAACAATCTCTGGTTAGAAAGAATAAATTGAAAAAAATATTTTCATAGTACACAAACTACCTGAATAAATATTGAATACTGTCTGTGAGGAGAGCTATAACAACAGAAAGGAAACACTAGGTTTCTATAACATCTTCAAAGACAGAACATACTCTGCAAAAGTAGTGAAAAGAGGAAAGAAGTACAGCCAGGTTAGCATGAGGTCTAATACTGTGAAATCTAGTCAAGAACAGTCCCACCTCTGCCCTGTCAAATCTATCCTGAAGAGCATAGCTGTGCTTTATAGTGAGAGGCAGAAACAGCAGGGAGAGGAACAAAGGCCATCCTGAAAGTCCTTCTGGACGTGGAAAACACAGACATTCTTAACATGTAGGTGAAACAGTTCTCATTACAAGAGATAAAAAAGTCTGGGAATTACAAACTGGAAAAAAAAATCTTTGCAATTTATATCACAAAGGGCTAATATCTCTAATGTATAAAGAGTTTCAAAAAACTCAGAAGAAAAAGACCAAGAGCCCAATAAAAACGGGATAAAGTAGGGACAGTTCACAGAAAAATAAATGCAAATAGATATTAAACATAAAATGATATTCAACCTCACTCATATATAAAAACTACACTGAGAGTCACTTGATTTATGACAAAAGTGACAATGTAGTAGGGAAAAAAAGTGCTAACCATAAAGGGAAAAATAGATATAAAGGACTATATTAAATTAATCATTTCTGGTCAACAAAAAAGTAACATTAGGAGTGACAGAGAACCCACATAGTAGAAGATATTTGTAATACATGTATATAACCAAGGACTTGTTTCCAGTATAAAGAACTTCTACAAATTAATAAGAAAAAGACAAATAACCCCCCAAATAACCCAAAAGATAAATGGGGGCTTCCCTGGTGGTGAAGTGGTTGAGAGTCCGCCTGCCGATGCAGGGGACATGGGTTCTTGCCCCGGTCCAGGAAGATCCCACGTGCCGCAGAGCGGCTGGGCCCGTGAGCCATGGCCGCTGAGCCTGCGCATCCGGAGCCTGTGCCCCGCAACAGGAGAGGCCACAACAGTGAGAGGCCCGTGTACCACAAAAAAAAAAAAAAAAAAAAAAAAGATAAAAGGGCAGAATACATCAATGCTTTGTGAAAGAGGATATTTGAAATTCTAATAAACAAATCCTCAAAAAAAATACAAACTAAAATCATAATGTGATACAACTACACACCTATTAGATAGCTAAAATAGAAAGAGAGACAATACTAAGTGCTAGCAACACTGCCGGGGGAAAAGTGGTACAAGCACTTTGGAAAACTGTCCAGCAGTATGAACTAAAGCAGAACATATGCACAGCCTATGACCTTGCAACTCTACTGCTAGATATATACAAATCAGAAATGTGTACATATGTTCACCAAGAGGTATGTATAAGAACGTTCATAGCATCACTATTCTTTTCTCTTACATATTTTTAATTTATGTATAGAAAAGATCATTCTTTGTGATGTACACGTCCAGGGTTTCGACAAATGCATAGAGTCATGTATCAACCACCACAGTCATGATAGAGAACAGTTCGATGTAGCATCAGTATGCTTAATAGCCAGAAACTGCAAACAAATCAAATGTCCATCTACAACAGAATGGATAATTGTGGCATATAATGGAATAACATACAGTAATGAGGATGAATGAACGATAACTACATGTAACCACATGGATGACTTTCACAAACATCATGTTGAACTAAAGTATGTAGACACAAATGATGACATAATTTGTGATTACATTTATATAACTTTAAAAATGGGGAAAACTAATGTGTGGTGTTAAAAATCAGGATAAAGTTATCCTTGAGGGTTTGTATGACTAGGAAGGGTGCAGGAGGCTTCTGGGATTCTGGAAGTGGTCTGTTTCTTCTTGTAAAGAATCATTAATCTATACACTTATTTGTGCACTCCAATATAACTTACCAAAAAACTACACAGAAATACCATGTGTTACCTTTAGACAAAAATCCTAAAGTTTGGACTTCCCTGGTGGTGCAGTGGTTAAGTATCTGCCTGCCAATGCAGGGGACATGGGTTCGAGCCCTGGTCTGGGAAGATCCCACATGCCACAGAGGAACTAAGACCATGTACCACAGCTACCGAGCCTGCGCTCTAGAACCCGCAAGCCACAACTACTGAGCCCACGTGCCACAACTACTGAAGCCCGCGCGCCTAAAGCCCATGCTCTGCAACAAGAGAAGCCACCGCAATGAGAAGCCCGCGCACCACAACGAAGACCAGCCCCCACTCGCAACTAGAGAAAGCCCGCACGCAGCAACGAAGACCCAACACAGCCAAAAATTAAAAAAAAAATTTAAAAAAAAAAGTCTAAAGTTTGAAAATATTTTCTATTGGCAAGGCTCTTGGAAAACAAGAACTCTTACAACATTGCTGGTGGTAACAGGAAATTACAAAATCCTTACGGAGGGTAATTTAGCAACGTGTATCAAAATTATACATGCATTTGCTATTTGACCCAGCAGCCCCACTTCCAGGAATCTATCCCAAAATATGCTAGCAAAAAAAGTGGAAACAAACCAAATGTCCATCAACTGATGAATGGATAAATAAAATGTGGCATATCCACACAACAGAATATTATTCAGCCATAAAAGGAATAAAGTACTGATACCTGCTACAACATAGCTGAACCTTGAAAACGCTATGCTGAGTGAAAGACACCAATCACAAAAGATCACATAATATATGATTCCATTTATATGAAATGATCAGAATAGATACAGAAAGCAGATTTATGTTGCCTAAGGCTAAGGCAGGGGAGAATGAAGAGTGACTGCTAATAGGTATAGAGTTTCTTTTGGGGTGATAAAAATGTTCTAAAATTGATTGTGATAATGGTCGCACAACATGGTGTATACACTAAAAACTACTGAATTGTATACTTTAAATGGATGAATTCTGTAGTATGTGAATTATACCTCAATAAAGCTGTTTTTAAAAATATGCTGGAAAAATACTAAGTAACTTACGAACAAGGTCATTTATTACTGCACTATTTGTAACAGCAAAAAACCTAGAAATAATTCAAATATCTATCAACAAAGAACTGGCTATATGAACAATGACGCCTCTATAAAATATACTGAGTATTTTGCAGGTGCAAAAAGGAATAAGAAATATCTCTCTACATACTTCTATGACATGCTCTCCAGGATATACTTTTAAAAGAAAAAAGCAATGTGGAAAGTGTTTATGGTATGTTACATTTTGTGTAAGAAACAGAGTGGGGACAATACAAGCATACATACATATAACATACCTTGTGTTATAGTTTTAACTTTGGAACTATGTAATTTTACATAGGTTAAAAAATAAATTAAGAACAATTTAAAATTTTAAAACAAACTGATATAAAACTCCTACAAGATAACATAAGAAAAAACCTAGATGACCCTGGGTATAGCGATTACATTTTAGATACAACACCAAAGGCACTATTCATGAAAGAAATTATGGATAAACTGGACTTCATTAAAGTTAAAAATCTGCTCTGTGGAAGACAATGTCAAGAGAATGAGAAGACCGTCCACAGACTGAGAAAATATATCTGAAAAAGATACATCTGATAAAAGACTGTTATCCAAAATATACAAAGAACTCTTAAAACTCAACAATAAAACAAACAACCCAATTAAAAAATGGGCCGAAGACCTTCATAGATACCTTACAAAAAATGATATACAGATAGCAAATAAGCATGTGTCTTATAAGCTCTACATCATATGTCATCAGGGAAATGCAAATTAGAACAACAATGAGATTCCACATGCACCTATCAGAATGGTCAAAATGCAGATCACTGACAACACCAAATGCTGACAAGGACATGGAGCAGCAGGAACTCTCATTCACTGCTGGTAGGAATGCAAAATGGTACAGCCACTTTGGAAGACAGTTTGGTGGTTTCTTCCAAAAGTGAACATACTCTCACCACAGATCCAGCAATCATGCTCCTTTGTATTTACTCAAAGGAGTTGAAAACTTAATGCCCATACAAAAACCTGCACATGGACATTTATAGCAGCTTTATTCATAATTGTCAAAATTTGGAAGCAACCAAGATACCCTAATAGGTGAATGGATAAATAAACTGTGGTATATACAGACAATGAAATATTATTCAACACTAGAAAGAAATGAGATAGAGAGTCCTAAAAAGACACGGAGGAACCTTAAATGCATATTACTAAGTGAAAGAAGGCAATCTAAAAAGAAGGAATCATCCTGGAAAAGGAAAAACTATGGAGACAGTGAAAGGACCAGTGGTTGCCAGGGGTTGGGGCAGGGAGAGGGATGACTAGGTGGAGCACTGAGGATTTTTAGGGCAATGAAAATACACTGTATGATACTATAATGGTGAATATATGTCATTATACATTTGTCCAAACCTATAGAATGTACCACCAAAAGTGAACCTTAATGTAAACTATGGACTTTGTGTGATTCTGATGTGTCAATGTAGGTTTATCTATTGTAACAAATATACCACTCGAGTGGAGGAGGTCAATAATGAGGGAGGCTATGCATGTGTGAGAGCAGGGGGTATATGGGAAACCTCTGTACCTTGCTCTTAATACTACTGTTTAAACCTAAGACTGCTCTTATACTGTCTTAAAAAAACAAATGAAACAAATGAATGCCTCTGTATGTCAAATTGGTATCCAACCATAAGAAGAATGATTTCAAGTAATTTTAAAACTCAGTATTTTTTTTTTTTTTTTTTTTTTTTTTTTTTTTTGCGGTACGCGGGCCCCACTGCTGTGGCCTCTCCTGTTGCGGAGTACAGGCTCCAGAAGAGCAGGCTCAGCGGCCATGGCTCACGAGCCCAGCCGCTCCGCTGCACGTGGGATCCTCCCAGACCAGGCATGC